AAAAAAAAGGCAGGGCAGGACACGGTCCAGGACCATGCCCTGAGGCAACCAGAGGCTTGGGTCCTTCAAAGAGATGTTCTGGTAGCCAGCCAGAGTGTCTCTATGCCTGTCCCTTGCCCTGATGCTGCAGCACACTGTCTGCCTGTGCAGAGCAAACAGCAATGCAGGCTGCAGTGACCTGGACCTGGGCCCTGTTCCAGGTAAGTTGGGGGTGGGGGGAGCTGGAGGCAGGGGGCTGTGAGGGTGCAGGAGACCATGGGGGTGCAGCTTGGAAGGGGTGGGTCCTCTGCCCGCCCTGTGCAGGGCCCATATGTCCCCCTGCATGGCTCCAGCCTCCCCGCAAGCCCACAGCTCACCTGCAGCAGCAGCGGCCATTGGGGCACTTGGGGCCTCCTGGCACAGCCCCCCCATGCAGCACAGGGCAATGCCGTGCAGCATGGTTTGGCCCCGGCTGCCTGGCACCTGCGCTGCCTGTGCCATATTGCATGGGCCCTTTGGGCAGCTCCAGCCTTCTCAGGATGTCACCCAGGCCAGGTCCTGCATGCATAGGCCCCATGCACTGTTGGGCCAGGCTGCTTCCACGCACACAGGACCTGGTCCGGTGCAACAGGTGGTCCCCACAAGTGGCCCAAGGCCCCAGGTGACAGCCTGAGCAGCCTGGAACTGCCCAAAGGCACATAGCCCGGCCTGGCTCAGCACAGTGCTTGTGTGATATGGCACAGGCAGTGCCAGGTGCTAGGCAACCAGGGCCAAGCCGTGCTGCACCGCACTACCCTGTGCTCCTCGGTGGGGCTGTGCCAGGAGGCCCCAAGTGCCCCAAGGACCGCTGCTGCTGCAGGTGATCTGTGGGCCATGCAGCCTGCAATGGCATGGTGCTGCCTGATATGAACTCTGTACATGCTGAATTGACCCAACCCAGCCCAGACTGCCCCGCCCCGCCCCACTAGCACATGGCTTTCCCAGTCCTGTCTAAAGCCATGCGCTAGTGGGCTGGGCTGGGCCAGGCTGGGCCGGGTCCATTCAGCATGTACAGAGCCCACATCAGGCAGTGCCGCGCTGCTGCAGGGGGCAGCTGGGGGGCAGGTGTGTGGCAGCCCCTGCTCAAGCCCCGCCACAAACCCACACAACCCCCCATCCTTCCTACATCCTCCCATTACTCTTCACACACCTCACACTGACACACACACTCCACACCCATAAACCTCCCCACCCCCATATCCCTGATAAGTTACCTGGGGTAGCACCCAGGTCCCAGTCATGCCACAGCCTTGCCCCACTTCTGCTTACCCCAGCACAGTAAGGGAGTGTGCCCCATGTATTGAGGCAGCAAAAGCACCATAGAGATGCTCTGGCCAGATACCAAAGCATCTCTCTGGAGGACCTGCCTCCAGGTTGCCTCAGTTTATTTTAGGATTCCTTTGACCAAGAATGCCCCATCCCTGGCTCTCACATGCTTTCCCTGAACTTTGTCTGTGAGCCAAAGTTCTGCCTTTATTGTAGCTAGGGCTTGAACCATTAATGGCTTTGAAAATTAGAACCAAAGCCTTAAAGTGATTTCAGATATGGACGGGGGCTTCTGGAAGGGTCTAAACACATACTCATGGCAGCCTAAGCCACAGCGAAGATGAAATATCTGCATTCAGCTTCAGCTACAGGGAATTACTTTATTTTAACCTGAAACTGACAAATGCCAGGTTTGTTGCAAGGGACAGCTGGAGAGGAGAGCTGGTCAGACAGGACCTCATGGCTGTGTGCCACTCTGAGGAATGGGGTCTGTGTAAAGGCAATGTCTAGGCTAGCTCCTCAGGTCAGTCTCACCCAGATTCAAGTAGCATCCACTTCTCTTCCTCCTGCTAAATATGGTGTTCTTAGAACTCTAAATAGCATCCAACTAGGTGATTTTTTTCTGTTTTGAAACATCAACTTGCCTGAACTGGGACCATGCCAGAGCCCCAGCTGCAGAGTGCAAAGAAGCTTTGCAGCATCCCAGGTCTGAGACTGGGAAACCTAAAGAATGAGGATCCTGTTTTCTAGGACATCCAGCCCCTGCCAGACAAAGGAGAATGCAACCAAGCCTGGTGGCCACCCAGAGCACCAGGGAGCGCTGAGCAGAGACTCACTCTGTAAATGCATGTTTATTACAAAGGTGTTGGATTTTATGATTCCTTTTAACTCCCCCACTTCAACTTTCACTTCTCCTACAGTGGTTCTAGGATGTGTGGTCCAAGATCTCATGCACCACAGTGCTGTGTGTACTCCATGATTTGCTGTATGTGCTGTGATCCTATGAGCTATCTAGGAACTAGACCTATGAAATACTAGCAGTCTGTGCCAGAACTGCTCCCTTTAGTACTCCACAGAGCCACACATTCACATGATGCTTTTTACCAGCTCTAGATCCCTGACAAAGATATTATAAAAAAGAGCTGATCTATATTCCCTGTCACTAGTGCCATGGAGAGGGGATGAGAGAAAAGCTGTATTTTTTTTTCACTCATTAGTGGTTGTTGCAGGAGACAGAAGTTCTAGGTTTGGAGATCATCCTTGCCCATTACAGAGAAGAGCTCTGTATCTGTGACTATACTGAGAAACTCCACTAACTGGAATCAGTGTTGAAATCAACACAGGGGCCATGGCCACAGAGATAGGAAGCTCCTGACATATTCCACAGTCCAATTTTTTGTAGACCAGAGAGAGCAAGGATCAATGAGTGACATCCCTTCAGACATTTGCCCCCATGTCAGTGATGAGCAACCACATACAATTTCTGTTTCTCTTGGGGATAAGGAGGGTTCATCTATCACTGTCTAGCCAGTGCTTTAGAGAAGCAAACTGTTATGGAAGAACCAAGCAATGTCAGTTATTTTTCAGCTGGTCTAAGGGGCCTTTGCTTTGACAAGCCAGGAAGTTTAACACTACAGCACTGCTGTGAGAGTTTGGTGTGGGGAGGAGGGGGGCTAATATGCTGTATCTTGTGGATGGCTCAACTGTGGCACCTGTAGTGGGCAAACTGAGTTATGCTAAACCTTTTAGTCATAGTCCAGGCCTTCCCAGAGCTAAGCAACAAAATTGAACAGAGCGCCTTCTGTGGCACTGGGAGATGTGAGTGGTGTGACTGGGCACTGGGAGAGCAAAGGACAGCAGTTTCCCTATAAGGAATGTGGCTGGCAGAGTGCCAGAGGATTGGTGCACCACATAAGGAATGCTTGGCACAGAGCCAGAGGATTGGACAATTTGGGATAAGAGAAGTTACAGAAGTGATGGACAAACAAAGGAACATGTGTGTGTTCTGTGTTGCCAACCTGGGGAGACAGAAGCAGCCTTGGACTTCTTGTTTGAACAATCAGGCATCCAGAAACTAATATCCCACATGTTGCATAAATTGCTGATTTTATCCCCTGGACGCTAGTCCAATTCACCTCTAGAAGAGAGTCACACTTTCAGGCTGGGTCCAACTCTATTTTATTGCTTGCAAGCAGGCCAACAGAGGAGCTTGTTGCTCAGATCAGTGTCGACCCTAAACAAAGAGCGCACGTGGCTTTTATTGAGCTAGCATTTTTTTCAGTTGACGTGTTACATTTTGATTGGTCATTTCAAACCAAAACCTGAGCAACCTATAAGACATACCTAGTGGGCTATCCTGTACCATGTGGGTGGAAAGTTACAGAATGCAGGGGTTAATACTAAAACAAGGAACAAAGAAACATAGAGAAAAGTAACTATTTTTGCTACACACACACCTAGCAGAGGGTCCAAGGCCGGTACCACCAAAGGTCACTGCTGTAATTCCTGAAGGAACCACTTGCCAGGTCGTATTGCAAGGAAGAATACTTGTAGTAAACCTAGGGATTACTATTAAAAGTTCACTTGATACCAAATCAGATGAGGGGCCGTGTCAATCCTTGGGGGTCTCTGGTAAAAGGAATCCTAGAGGCAACAGTACCTAGCAAACAAGATGCCTCTCCCCACAGTGTAACACAGGGTCAGTGCACAGGAATCCAGCAGTTGCCACTGTCTAAGGCAGGCTTGTCCAGCATACGGCCTGTGGGCCACCATGCGGCCTGCCAAGCCATTTTATCTGGCCTGAGGCGCCGCTGTTGCGGAGTGTGGAGCCACGGTGGCAGCAGAGCAGTGGTGAGGCGAGGTGAGGCGGGCAGGGCTGGCCTGCGAGCCCCAGCCGGCAGTGAGGGGAGGGAAGCTGGGCTCATCAGTGAGCTGGGTCCCGCCGCCACTGCCCTGAGGGCTGTGTGGCGCGGGGCTGCCCCAGCCGTGCCTGATTAGACAAGCTGGGGACAGCATGTGCAGCTTGTTCTCTGGCTCTGCCCCTTGCCCTGGCGCGTGGCCAGGGGAGCTGCAGTGTAGCCCGTGCCCTGCCTGCATACATGGTGGACAGAGGCATGAGGTAAGTTCCCACACAGAGCTGGGGGCACCTTGGGGCTGGGCCAGGGTGGAGGCATGGGGTAAGTTCCCACAGGGAGCTGAGGGCACCTCAGGGCTGGGCCAGGGCTGTGGGGCATGCGGTTGCCAGAGCCGGGTTGGGTGGGAGGCAGGAGGAGTCTGGCCCAGAGGCTGCATTTGTCCCCTTTGGGCCGGGCTCCTCCTGCCTTCTGCCCAGCCCGGCTCTGGCAACCGTGTGCCCTGCAGCCCTGGCCTGGCCCCAAGGCGCACCCAGCTGTGTGTGGGAACTTACAGATGACACTTCAGCCCCCTCCTCCCAAAGCTCCATCCCCTTCTGCATTTCCCCCTTGTTGGTACTGCCCTACTCTCAACAGCAGAGAGAGGCAAGCAGGAGTGGGGCTGGAAACAAGGCAGCATCAAGGATCAGGGGGCTGTTGGGGAGATGCCCCGAATCAGAGGGAAGGAGGCAGTAGTGTTGGGGAAAGAACACCAGGCCAGGGCCAGGAACAGGCAGAGGAAGGGCTAGAATTAAATGAAAGGAGAGATCCTCTCCCTGCCTGTGGGGAAGGGGGAGATGCTCTCTCCCTGCTCCTCTCTTGGCCCTTGGGAACTGAGTACTTAGAAGGGGGCTGTGAAAGGGAAGAGGGAAGTGTCCTTGTTGAGGAGGAGGAGGAGGAGGAGACAAGCAGTTGGTTCAAATTTGGAGCCGGCGTCTTTTTTAATTGGGAGATATACTGAACGTGCTGGACTGATATTACAGGTTGCAGGAATGAAGACACGAGGCAAGGGCCTCTCTCTGCCTTTGGGTGAATCACTGATGAACCAGGGCTCCTCTGGGGTCCCCCTGTCCAGTCTGCAGAGCTGCAGAGCCCCTGCAGCTCCAGCGCTGCTCAGCATGGGCACCTGCAGTTGGGGTGGTAGGAGCTGCAGGCCCTACCCCAGTCAGAGCAAGCCCCCAGCTGAAACCAGTGACATCATTGCCACTTCCTGCAACTTCACTGGTGTCAAAGGTCACATGATGTCACTTCCTGATGTGATACCACTTCCTGTGACCCTGTGAGGTCTTTGAATATAGTTCGCTGGCCCACTGGGTGATAAAAAGTTTGTGATCTGGCCCCACATTCAAAAAGGTTGGACACCCCTGGTCTAGAACAATCTTTTCAGTGTCCTAGTGAGCTGGGACTGATGTTAATGACACGCCTTGTCTTTCAGCTGAGTCACAGCTTCATAATATAAAATACCTGAGATTCAGTGACCAAGGGAACCGACCACCAAACTGGAGACACAGCAATGAGACTAGACTAAACAGTGCTGTGTTTCAAGGTTGTTGATATGTTACCCTAGAGGAAAAGCTCCCAAGTGACCCTGAGGGTCAGGCTTGTTTTATTCTCATCCACATGGGGTTCCTTTCACTCCCATGGACTGTCCTGGAAGGGATTATCAGAGCCAGCAAGCATCATGTCCTGGCAGTAGGCACCCAAAGAAGAATACCCCTGCATTAGCCAGACGTGCCTGTTCACTCCTGTTTGGCATCCCCAAGTGATTTTTGGTTGATGTTTGGTCCAGTAATTAAGGCAGCAGAGCGGAGAATGCATAGCAAGATACCAGTGTTGGGGCTGGCCACTTAAAATTAATTTGGGTTTTTAAAAATAATTCCAGCTCATTCTTAAGCATGGTTGTCCCTACTCCCTGGACATTGTGTTGTACTGGGCATGTTGACATTGCAGTCACTACAAATGTAGACCTACCTGAATTAGCTTCAAACCAGCTAGCTCAGCTGCTGCTGCCAGTCCAGCTCCACCAGCATGAAAGCTCAGTGTGGGCTAACTGCTTAGGTATTTATCCAACTTCCTGGGTAGGTTGTGCAGTCTGTACTGAGCTCTGGACAGCTTTAGCTGCACTACTGGCAGTACTCTGCTCAGGTATGTCTGCAAAAGCTTCCATCTCAGCAGTGACTGCAGCATGGACATACCCACAGTAGCCAACATTAACATACATGCCCAGTTTTGGAAGCTTGTATCCTTCCCACTGGCTCATGTTGCTTTGCTCTGAGCTAAAGCATATCATGTGTGACCTTGGAGAAACATTGCTCCAGGACTGTGGTAGTGATTACGAATTCCAAGGCCAATGACCACCCTCCTCAGCGTTGAGTCACTACCAGTAGTATAAACATATTTGTAAAAAAGGTGAAAGAAACATTAGCAGCAACTGGAGCAGCATATTGAAGTAAAACAAATAGATCATTATCCTGCCCTAGAATATAAATTGTTCACACTGGAATAGCTTCACCAAAGCAACAAGCAGCACAGCAAGGTAAGAAAGGAAGCTTCAGGTACTCAGCTTAGACTGAGCATTAAGGATGTATGTATTGCAATGAAAGTGCAAAGAGTGTCTCAATGCATTTCACTCTTCCTTCCCAGGAGAATGAAAGATTATCAAAGATCAAAGAAATAAGAGGTTGCCATGCCCTGGGGACAAACCTGGTGACAGAGCTGACAGGGGCATGGCGCAGAACTAGGAGCCATGCAGCAAGGCGATACCCCGCAGCACCTAAAGAGTCTCAACAGGCTGTTGGGTGTTGGCTGCAGGCAGCTGGTGCTGGCCTTTGTGGCCAGATGGCTGCAGCTGGGCCCAGGTGCTGGCAGCAGCCTGCAGCAGCCTGCAGGGCTGGATGGCACGGGCCTGGTAGCTGTGCAGCACTGTGGTGCCACGCAATGGAACCAGGGTGCAGGCAAGCTGACACAGGTAGCTCACGCCTGTGCAGGGGCAGCAGAGACCAAGAGTCCTCCCAGGCTCCCTGCTGTTGTGCCACAGGGCTCAAAATGCCTGCAAGCTTTTAAAGGGTCTGTGCTGCCATAGGTGTGGCCAAGCCCTGGGACCGGAGAGGCTCCCAGCCCTAAGGCTGAGCTCAGGCTGGCCCCTTAGTTGCAGGGCTGACCAGAAACAAATCTGCTCCTGGCTGGCCTCTACACATGTGTTACTACACGGTAACTACTGAAGAGTAAATTTGCTCCTTGTATTTCAGGTAGCAAATTTACTCATGAGTAGCTAAGTTTACTGCACGGTAAGCATGTGCATGTGTAGATGTACATGCTTACTATGTGGTTAAAATAAGCTACTTCACAGTAGAGCATCTTGTGTAGATGCACCCATCGTGTTTATATGATTACATAAATGTAGGAATTTAGTAAGGAGTTGGAACCTAAGGGAAAGAAGACATACCATGGCCAGCATGCCCTTGCTGGAGCTCCTAGCAGAAGGTAAAGTCCTGTGGCTTGATCTGCTATTAACTGTAGCCCATTCATTTACCTGAACAGGGACTACTGTTGTGGTGTTCAATACAACTTCAGCTGGGCCTGGTCCTTTTTCCTCCTGTTCTGTCCATTCCCTCTGATAAAGGGCAAAGGGAGCTGTAGCATAGTCATCTGCATATTATGCTGGAAGCTACTTTATTTTGTAGGAAAAACTTGTAGCCTGACACAAGTGGTTCTGCTGAGGAAACCCACTTACTTTGTTAGTAGGCAAGAAGCCTTCAGTGTGATTTGGTCCTGCATACAAAGATCCAGTAAATGGACTTTCTATTGACATAATGTAATTGATCTGCCCCCATCTTGCTAGTTCAAGTAACACTTGGCAGTGGAATGGTCAGTCAGTATCTCCCTGGTGTGGCCCTTTACAGCAAGGAAGAATGGTCTGCATGCTTCACCTAGTGCTCATAATTCCCATACATTTACATGTAGGGAAAAAACCTCCTTAGTAGGCCTTACTGCAGGGGTGGGCAAATATTTTGGAGGGAGGGCCGCTTACTGAGTTTTGGCAAGCTGTCGAGGGCCACATTGGTAGCCCCGCCCCTTGACAGGTGCCACACCCCCTGGTCACCATCTTGCGGTTGGAAGTCCTGCCTCCTAACCCCCTACCTTTGCCACTAGAAGTCCCTTCCCTTGCCCCCAGAAATACAGGTAACACCTGCTTAATATTGTTTTGCTTAGTGCTATTTCACTATAGTGCTCATTTTAAATTGATACTGATTTCACGTAGCACTCAGCAAGTTTCATTATAACACTTGCAGTCACCATCTTGGGTTGTCAAATACTTTCCATTTCACTTAACGGTCGTTTTGCTTAATGCTCTCATTTTCAGGAACCAATTAATAGCGCTAAGCAGGGCTTGCCTGTACTCCTTTCAGCAAAGGGTTTTGCCATCTCAGAACCA